AATTGCATTGATGCATGTCAATTGATCAATTTAAAACTTTGCTTATATAAAACATATCACCTTGTGGAGGACCATTTTCGAAAAAATCTCAACAAAATTGCATTTTTTCCATTTTTTTTGAAAACTTCATTAACTATTTTAATTTAAACTACCCGTTAGTAATTCAAATTCAGTCGGAACATCATCGTCTATGCCTTGATATAAGCGGTCTTGTTGTTACTTTAAGTTTTCATATATGAGCTCAACAAGACTGCTTGTATCAGGTCGAAGCCCTTAAATGTCCCGATTTCCTTTTATCATATCGGGCTCGGGTTTTTTTGACAAACTAACTTGAGTTTTGTAATTTCAAATCTACTATTTTCTGGAGGGGGACGGGTGGACGGATTTCCAAAAAACTAATCAACAATTAGGTTGACAAACTCTGTGACTCCAATTAGCCCAATTGAAACCAACTTTTTTGTGCCGCACGCAAGATTTGAAAAAAATACACAGAAAAGCAGTTTAAAATTTTTTTGGAAAGGCTTATAAAAATTTCTTTTTTTCTGGCGCGCTCTCTCCCCTCAAAATTACTATATAATCACTGAAAGGTTTAGGATCGCTCAATCAAAAATGGGAGCCCTAAAGTCGCCCCCTTAATCGGCTACTGTTTTCAATTTTTCTACTTTATTCCACCCAAAATAGTTTAACAGTGCATCTCTAATACTTTCACGCCTCGTTAAAATCAAAGTTTTGGAATGTATAGAATTTGAAAAACCCACCTATGAGCATTTTAATTCCTACTCTTTTAATTTGAGATTTACAAAAAGACCTAGATTTATTGAGAGCCCTGAATGACAAATTGAATCAAGACTGCTCATATCAGCGCGAAGCTCTGAATTTTCTCACTGCATTTAAGAGCTATGGAGAAAAATGGATGAAAATTCCAAAAAAAGGAAAAAGAAGTATCTTTATGAAGATCATCCTTCACACGTTAGGTAAAATACAAAGTGATATATTTTGCAAAGTCTTAAATCAACCAAACTTTTCAAACCACCATAAGTTTACAGAAAATGAACACAGGTGATCTCAGGACAGCAATACTTTTCCAATGATATAACAAGTTCAGTCAAAATTACGAGTTCAAAACTTTGTGTAGAGAAAAAAATACACCTCGAGCACAAATATTGCGTAGTTTTCTCCCAAAAAATATTCGGAACAATAATTTAATTTCACGGAATCAACCAATTGGCCTAAAAAAGGATTGCAATCGAGCTCAGATTTGAAAATTGCTTGTCCTAAATTTTTGTAAAAGTGGCTGAATCATGGTTTCTTGGCTCTTTAAAAAGGCTGTAGAGGCGGTTGTTAGAGACAGTAGCCACTAAGTGGACACTTTCAAGTTCTGTAGCTAAGCCGATTAGTACTTGTGACGACTTGTGTATTTTAAAAAAAAACTGCTGAAAACAATAACTGCAATTTAAATAGAACCTGGCAATTACAAAAAAAACAATTCCGATAGTTGAAAGATTGTGTTACGCACTAATCACAATGCCAGAATCTCGCTTATATCTATATAAATTGATTGGAATAACTCTAATTCAAGCTTCAGTAACGATGTTTCAAACACAATTTTTTGTTCCGACTATTTCTGAAGAAAATGACGGATTATTTTTTGGGTTGGTTTTTTTCTTCAGACAATTTTCGACTCTTTCAGTAGCAATTTTGACAAAAATTTTTTATATTAGTCGAAAGATTTTGTTGTGTTCAGCTCAAATTAAAAATTTTATCATCTTTGTTTTTTTGAGTAAAGATATGGGGATTTTAAGATTGCCAATTTGCCCATTTTCGGACAATAAACGTGCGATAAATTTCCTGCTATTAACACGTAAGCATATAAGAAATAGTTCCAAATTGCATTGATGCATGTCAATTGATCAATTTAAAACTATGCTTTTATAAAAACATATCACCTTGTGGAGGATCATTTTCGAAAAAATCTCAACAAAATTGAAATTTTTCCAGTTTTTTTGGAAACTTCATTAACTATTTTATTTTAAAATACCCGTTAGTAATTCAAATTCAGTCGGAACATCCTGGTCTAAGCCTTGATATAAGCAGTCTTGTTGATACTTTAAGTTTTCATATATGAGCTAAACAAGACTGCTTGTATCAGGTCGAAGCCCTTAAATGTCCCGACTTCATTTTAGGATCCAAGGAGAAGTGTTGCTTTCAAATATTGATGAAAACCTCAGAAAACAAATGTTAAAAAAAAACAAAATTTTTAGAAAGTGTTTTTTGAAATCATCCATATAAACGCTTTATTGGGCAAATTTGGCAAAGTATTGAACAAGCCAAAAAGCGTGGCTTAATTCAGTTTGGAACGATTCCCAAAATGGGTCAAATCTCCGCTTTCACTAAACATATGGTGCGTTAACTGACTGTCGGAAATCGGCAATGTTGCAACGCCTATAGTTTTATAAAAGTTGATCACTCGTGAAATTTGTTTTTATATTTGAGCTCAGGACAACAACTTTTTTGATTTTACCTAACAATTCCTCCCCCGCGCTTCAAGAAAGGAAGGGAGATTGTTAAGTAGACTGAATCAGCGCAACCAATTTTCGACCAATCAGAAAGCAGCAAAACACGCATTTTCCATGAAACGCTCTAGTGCTAATTTACCGTTTTGTATAGGTGTGCAGTTTTTCTAGTAAAAACCATAGGAGAGATATTGTTAAGTAGATGCTACTTTACATTATAACGGACAATTTCAATAAAATTTAGAGTTTTACTTTATAATCTAATAACAATTTCAATTTTTATTAACAAAAATAGATTCTGCTCCGTTTTACTAGTTATTCAATTGTCCAATTTTACCACAAAATGTTTTTAGGTAAACTATTTCCACGAATCTTTCTGTTTTTAATTTTTTGTATTAAACTGACGACCAAATATTTGATAAACATTTGAATAGCCCAGGAAATTTTTTTTATAAAATCTACTTCACTCCAATCTAATCAAGTTTCCAAACAGTTAAAATGAAATGTTTTCTCTTTGGGGTTTTCGGAAAATAAACGATGATCTTGCTGAAACTTTTTTCAATAACTTATTAGGTCATATAATGGGATGCAAATTTGGTACAAAGAAATCACTTTTTCCCTAAATATAATTAACAACAAGCAATAATAAATTCTGAAACTAATCTATCAAAAAAAGGCTTGTCATCGAAAGTTATTGATCGGAAAAAACATTGGAGCTCAGTCATATGACAAAAAAACTGGAACTTTCTGAATGCAAATTGTTTTGTATCCTTTTTACTATTCAAAGAGACATTAAGTTTTTTCCACTTTTGCAGAATAGATTCTGAAGCGTTGATTTCGAGCAAGGTGGACATTGTTAAATCCTAAAAATCAAAAACGGACATCAATTGACTCTTCTTAACAAATCATGAGTTCAGCACCTTAAGGCGGCAAATATTCATTGATATAAAGGAATTTTACAGATCAAAGTTAAACAAAAAAGCTATATGAAAGGTCTTGTTATGATAGTTTTAAGAGGTTTTGATAAGTTTTGTCGCAATTGTGCATATTTACAAAATTTATAGGGCGTATCTCAGGGTTAACACCAAATCAGGCCATTTTTGGTTAAACTGTGCTCCTACCTCATTCGCTGAATAAATTTTGATACAATTGGTTGCGCATAAACCATTCCAAAACTGAAAAACTCTATGCCATCCTTCGACCGGATTGTTGGTTTGCTGATTTCCATTCATCGCATGCTGCACTGATTCCGTATAGCTGGATGGAAATTTGGATATGTTCGTAGAGTTCTATATATTTATTCCGTCACCCACGTTTTATTTGAAATGAACGAAATAACGCCGGAGCTGTTCATTCTCAGTTGCTGTCGAGTACAGAGCTTCTTATGCCAACTTCAAGTCGCATTGACGATTGAGAGCCACAGCAGTAAAGGATTTCGTTTTCCTTCTTAGTTCTTTTCTTGTCTCAACCCCCAGTCCTATTTGTTTTTTTGCCTGCGCACAATGAAACACTCCTTTTTACAGACGCCAGGGGGGTATTCCGATTTGAAGGCAGAATTGGCTGCTTGTTTGAAATCAATAGCAATTTCGGCTCTAATAGCGGGTTAGTTCACGTAACAGCCGTAAAGCTTGTTGAGCCTGCTGTTGAGTTTTTTTACTGTGACAGAAAGTAAACCATTGGGAGGGAGCAGTTGTTTGTGACAGCATGTAGAATAAATACTTGACAAAAAAAAACTTTTAAATATTCGAACTTCCTTTTATTTTTCATCTTCAAAGATCAAGATTCGTTTTCCGATTTTTAGTGGGTGTTACGGGTCTTAGTTGAGAGGTAATTAAAGGATTATCTTACGAGCTTATTGCGAGTTATCGCGTTTTGCGATTTGCCGGAATTGCTAATTTATACAAGTTGTCTTCTTTACGAGTTGTGTTTTTCCTTGCGAAATTTCGTGTTACTCGAAAAGAAGATGGTAACTAAAACGATTTAAGTATCAGAAACGTTTGAATGAGATGGTTATTTTTTTTATTGAGAGAATCAGAAATTTCAGTTGAACAAAAGTTCAGTACGTCCAAGCAATAGCTAACAGATGTTTAAAAGTTATTATCATATGTAATTTTAATTTTAATCCTATATAAAAAACATAAAAGCTATCCCACATCCGCGGAAGCATGGCAGTTTGTTTAATCAAGTCTTGCTGTAATAAAATCAATTGTTTTACTGTCGGATAGTTTTTAAGTCATAATATTTAATTTTTATCTCGTACTATAAGAAATCATCCTGAAACTGCTCTTTTTCATCCCCCCACTTGCGAATAAGGGAAAAAGAGCCCTTTGAACTCCCCACGATCAGATTTTTTAGATATTTCAATAACTCATCCTCGGTAAGGAGATTTTTAATTGTTATCTGGACAGGGTTAATTTTAACTTGATCACAAACCGCACATCATCCTCTCTATTTGCAGAACTAACAATGGGTTTGGTTTTTTTTAAGGACACGAGAACTGTGGTAGCAATCCTGCAATTGTGGTCACCCCAACCGAGGAAGAGGCGGAGGAGGAGGGGGAGAACGGAAACGTAAAAAAATGCGAGCAAGGAAATCAACCCAAATTCAACCTCATTTCAAGCCTCATCCCGCGAAGCACAATTAAGCGATTCTCAAATTCAAGCAACACTTCACAGCAGAAACTGATGAACCACAAGGTCAATGACCGAAAAGCGATGAAAACTCTGACCTTTTTATTGGGGGCGTTCATAATTTGTTGGACTCCCTGGAACATTGCGGAAATAATCAATGGATTTTGGGGTCCAAAGACAGTCAACTATCATGTATATCAGGTAATAGTAGAAAAACAAAACAGTTACGATTAAGAACTGAAATTACTAGTTTGGTATCAAATTTTTTATCGAAAGGGTCTTTATGCAATTTTCATTATCTGAATTTAACTACTCAAATCATGTCGCAGGTTCCAACTTGTTTACACCGTCGAAAATCTTCAAAATACTCTTGAAAAAAAGATAAAATTTTAGTTGTGCAGGTCTCTAGATTGATGTTTTTGATTTTTATCCTTCTAACAAAGATTAAATTTTATTGTCGGATATTATCGAATCACTTATTGTCGGATATTTAAGTTCATCTTTATCGAATCACTTATTGTCGGATATTTAAGTTCATCTTTACACTGATAACTAAATTTAAAAAAAACTTCTGTGTTGATTTCTTAATGCGAAAAAACCGATTTTTGTATTTCTTTTTGATCAGGGCAAATTTGCCTGTGTTCTAAAATTCAGTGTCTTTTAATAGGCTTCAAAAGGACTGGGTGCTGGTTTTATTCCCTGCAAGGCTAGTAAAAAAAACTCAACCGCCTTACTGGCAACGTGCTTTTTTCGATATTCGATAAAATAGTTCAAAAAGGTTTGCTTTATTTGAAGAAATCCGACCTTGAAAAAACAAAAACAATTAGACACATATTTGAAAAATTGAAAAATTATTGTCCAGTTTTTCAGTTTTTTTTCCATTTTACAATAACACTACAGTTTAAAATATTTCATTTAAGGTTTAACCAGTAAGCTGACAAAAAGATCAAACGCAAACCAAGACAAATCTGCTCGTATCAGGGCGAAGCCCTGAATGTTCCGACTGCCTTTTAAAGTCAATGGAGCAGTAATTAAAAAATTAAAAGTAATAAAAAAATGATATTTTTTTTCTCTAAGATTTGAGGTTTTTTTGTGAAAATCATCCCCCCACTCGCCATATAAAGTACAAAAGGATAGATTTCGCTCCTTGTAACAAATCAATTATGGCATATAAGCTCCTTTCCACCAATTTGGAACAATTTCTAAGACGGATTAAATCTCCGCTTACGCGTTAATAGCGCGAAATATATCGCGCATTAATTGTCCCAAAATGGCCAAAATAGCAATTTTTGAAGCCTCATATTTTTACAAAAATTGATCACAGGTGAAATGATTTTTCAAATTTAAGCTCAAGACAACAATATGTTTTGAATGTTATAACAAAATTCCGTCAAAAACAGCTCGTTAAAAATTCGAAATTTGTCTGAAGAAGAAAAAAACCTACACCATGCACAAACATTCCTTTACTTTCGTAACGAAAGTCGGAACAAAAACTTGATCAAAAAATTTCAAATCAATAAAAAAGCTAGATGACAAAACTCAGCTTACTTATAATTGAATGGTTGATTCATTTCACTAGTTGTGTTGTCGATTCTAAAATTTCTTTCCATCGATTAGACCGTGAAATTAAAAAAATATATATCTATTTATCTACTCCTAGATCTTCTCTGCATTTAAACCATTCTACTTGTTAATGGCTTTGTTGATACAAAATGATTCCCGATAACATTAGGCGGATAATAATTGAATTTATCGCGCGTTCATTGTCCCATATTGGCCAAAATGGCAATCTGAAAACCCCCATAACTTTACGAAAAATAATCACAGGTAAAATATATCTTTTCAAATTTAAGCTCAGGACAACAGTACCTTTTGAATGAAAAAAAAAATTCCGTCAGAAATAGCTGGTCAAAAAGTCGAAATTTGTCTGAAGAAAAAAAAAGCAAACCCACCCCGAGCACAAATCTTCCGTTACTTTCGAAGCGCAAGTCGGAACAAAAACGAAAACGGTAGCGGTAAAAAAAATAAACTTTTATTGTTTAGTTATCTTTTATCGGTTTGAAAAATTTTCAAAAATAATTCAACAAACCAGGGATATTTTTCTGATACAGGATCTGTTTAACTGCTCCTCCGAGCCGGGTTAAAGCTATTTAGATAATTATCGCTAATTCATTAAAAAAATGTTTCATAGACAGTTTCTTCGATGATTCAGTATTGATTCACAAGGTCGGCTAACTTACAAATGGCTATAAACAGCCTGAGGAAATTGCGGAAACCCTCAGTTGTAAACAAAGCACAGAGAAGCTTATGATTAAGTGCAAACAACTATCACCAACTGATTGTTGTTCACGGATGCGTAAGAGCAATTTTTTAAGAAAAAAAATTGCTCATATTCAAATTTAAATGACTTTCTTATGACTTTTTTTGTAGATCTTGCTTGATAATTTATCAAAAAAGCAGCAATGAAGTAAAGGCAGCTAAACCTTAGTTGAATTGTCGGTAACTATAATTGAATTTTCAACCCCAAACTTACTGAGTTTTTACTTTTATTGATTTTTACTCATTCGTCTACAAATAACTATGCATTCTAAACACGGCCCTTTCATTTTTCCAAAAAACGAATTTTTAATTTTTAAAAAGATATATAATTATTTGATCAAATTGCGCTAGAAATGTTACGCACTGAAGTTTGTTTATTGAATCAGCAGTATAAAATCAAAATCAGTGTTAAATTATTTTTTGAAATTTCAAGTTTTCGAAATCTGAAATTTATACAGTAAACGATTTCTAAAGAATTAACAAATGCATATGAGAGACACTTATTTAGGGGCAAAAAAAACTAATTGTTAAGAAAGTTTCAAAATAACCTTGAAAATAAACTTTTCGATCCATTTTTTAAGGTGTACTCAGTTTTTGTTGAACGCAATCAGGAACAAAATAAATAATAAAATTTAAATAAAGCGCTTCTTTTTTTCATTCAAGTCAAAAAATTTTTAAATGGCTATTTTAAAGTTTTTATCAGTGACGGTTGCGTCAAAAACGTTAGCTTTCTGGTACAAAATTTGTGACCATTTTTGTTAATACTTCCATCTAAGTTGATTGTCGTCAAGTTTAAGCTTGCCAGTTTTTATACTAAGAAGTTCAACATTTAAGATGTTTTTGAAAACTGAAGGCGCTATATAAAAAACGTAAATAGATTTACAAAACGACACATCTAAGAACTTATTAATCATACATGTACAATTTTGGTAGCGCCGACGCGAATGGTCACCATAAGGCTACAAGCCTGTTAGCAGGTGCTCTTTATTTGAGAGCAATTTGAAAAGTGAGAACCAAGTTTTTTGTTTTTTGTTCGATTTAAAATTACCCGTTTTTATCAGACTGTTTCTATCCGATATTTCTGAAAACTAAAAGCGCTATTTTTTCTCAATTTCTGAAAACTTTTTGCACATTTAGAGGAGATTAGAAAAATCCAATTACTGTTTCATTCATCAAATTGGCCAGTCTATTTTTGCGTGATTTTTGATTTACGCTTAAAAGTTGAAAATCAGCACGGCAAATTCAAAAATCCAAACTGTGATTTTCAGTCTGCAATTCACAATCGAATTTTACTTCGTGAATAATCTTGAAAATAAACTTTTCGATCCATTTTTTAAGGTGTACTCAATTTTTGTTGAACGCAATCAGCTTGTAAGTTTTTGACTTGAATCGAAATCGAATACACCTGTCCTAACTTTTCTTGAGAGTGAATGTGCTTCAATTGCCCACAATTTATCACCATTCGCTACAACTAGGATAAAACAGAAAAAAAATATTAATAAAGCAAACCCACCCCGAGCACAAATCTTCCGTTACTTTCGAAGCGCAAGTCGGAACAAAAACGAAAACGGTAGCGGTAAAAAAAATAAACTTTTATTGTTTAGTTATCTTTTATCGGTTTGAAAAATTTTCAAAAATAATTCAACAAACCAGGGATATTTTTCTGATACAGGATCTGTTTAACTGCTCCTCCGAGCCGGGTTAAAGCTATTTAGATAATTATCGCTAATTCATTAAAAAAATGTTTCATAGACAGTTTCTTCGATGATTCAGTATTGATTCACAAGGTCGGCTAACTTACAAATGGCTATAAACAGCCTGAGGAAATTGCGGAAACCCTCAGTTGTAAACAAAGCCCAGAGAAGCTTATGATTAAGTGCAAACAACTATCACCAACTGATTGTTGTTCACGGATGCGTAAGAGCAATTTTTTAAGAAAAAAAATTGCTCATATTCAAATTTAAATGACTTTCTTATGACTTTTTTGTAGATCTTGCTTGATAATTTATCAAAAAAGCAGCAATGAAGTAAAGGCAGCTAAACCTTAGTTGAATTGTCGGTAACTATAATTGAATTTTCAACCCCAAACTTACTGAGTTTTTACTTTTATTGATTTTTACTCATTCGTCTACAAATAACTATGCATTCTAAACACGGCCCTTTCATTTTTCCAAAAAACGAATTTTTAATTTTTAAAAAGATATATAATTATTTGATCAAATTGCGCTAGAAATGTTACGCACTGAAGTTTGTTTATTGAATCAGCAGTATAAAATCAATATCAGTGTTAAATTATTTTTTGAAATTTCAAGTTTTCGAAATCTGAAATTTATACAGTAAACGATTTCTAAAGAATTAACAAATGCATATGAGAGACACTTATTTAGGGGCAGAAAAAACTAATTGTTAAGAAAGTTTCAAAATAACCTTGAAAATAAACTTTTCGATCCATTTTTTAAGGTGTACTCAGTTTTTGTTGAACGCAATCAGGAACAAAATAAATAATAAAATTTAAATAAAGCGCTTCTTTTTTTCATTTAAGTCAAAAAATTTTTAAATGGATATTTTAAAGTTTTTATCAGTGACGGTTGCGTCGAAAACGTTAGCTTTCTGGTACAAAATTTGTGACCATTTTTGTTAATACTTCCATCTAAGTTGATTGTCGTCAAGTTTAAGCTTGCCAGTTTTTATACTAAGAAGTTCAACATTTAAGATGTTTTTGAAAACTGAAGGCGCTATATAAAAAACGTAAATAGATTTACAAAACGACACATCTAAGAACTTATTAATCATACATGTACAATTTTGGTAGCGCCGACGCGAATGGTCACCATAAGGCTACAAGCCTGTTAGCAGGTGCTCTTTATTTGAGAGCAATTTGA